CTCTTTGTTAAATTATGTGACACCGAATGTAATTTTGTGAAATTGCATCAAACACGACATCATCACCACAACTAGAAACACTTCCAACATATTGGGACCAATTTCTTTCCTCATTAACACATAGTCATTCAGAACTCAACTTTTAAGGTTTGTTTAATTGCGAGTGTGTAATTTGTATAGAAAGAAAATAAATTCTAGGCAATTCAATTGCCTAAAACTTATTTGTATTGAAATTATTAATTAAATTTATTTGATTGATTTAGTTTTCAACCTAAAAAATATTATACTTCTTGATTTTTTATTGGTAGGTAGATGAGAGAGAGAGAGAGAGAGAGAGAGAGAGAGAGAGTGAATTACCAAAAAAAAATAAAAATCACCCATCCCTTAATATAAAATGGTGAAAAACAACGAGATAAAATTTTAGATCACAGTTTTCGACCAACCTCAATCAAGCGATATCTCGAAGCCCCTTTTTCCACCACCATCACCCACCTAATCACTAGTATATGTAAATAATATATTTCACCTACTTATTTCTTATTCCAATGTATATAAAAATCCTAGAATCTAAAAAGAAAGAAAAATACTCATTTCTACAAATTTTTACAGATTAAATCGGGTCGATTGGAACTGTGGAGGGATGGTGCAGCGGACTGCCAAAGCGATTTCGACATACGAAAATAATAAGTTTTAATGCATTTAAATTCATTAGTTTGTTTTGTTGAATAACGTTATTATCGAGTTTATTAGTTGAGAATGTTTAAGTTTTTTTTAAAAACACGATTTATTAATTCAAATTCAAATTTATGGATGTTCTAATATTTTGTAATTAAAGAATTTTATCGTGCCGCATTTTAAGTAAATAAAGGTAAATGAAATTAATTTTTGGTAATACCTCATGATGAATGAAATTTTGGGGCGTTACATGAATATTCGCAATGCAATCAAATATTTTAAATCTTCTCTTGGTAGATATGAGAGAATGAAGGAGTGTGCGAGGCAAGAGAAGATTGATTGCAAGTCCATTGTGTTTCTGGATTTTCCAATTAAGTGGAATTCTACCTATTTTTTGTTGGAAACGGTGTTAAAGTTTGAAAAAGCTATTGAAAGGTTAGAAGAAGAGAAGGCATGATATTTGCACTACCTTCGAGAGGAGGATGGTGGTAGAAGAAGTGATGGACCCCCTTTAAGTTTAGATTGGGAAAATGGATATGTGTTTGTCAAGTTTCTTAAAAATTTCTTCAATGTAACTTTGACTTTTAATGTTAGTGATTGTGCTTATCTTAATGAAATATATAATATTGTCATCGAATTGGATGAATGGAGATTAAGTGGCAATTTATTGTTGGGTGAAATGGCGACTAACATGAAGAAGTTTGATAAGTATTGGGGTAAAATGGAATATGTGAATCAGTTGTTGCTTTTTGCTACTATCCTGGATCCAAGATATTAAATCGATTATAAGAAGTTTGATAAGTATTGGGGTAAAATGAAAAATGTGAATCAGTTGTTGCTTATTGCTACACAGGAAAATGTAATAGGGCTTTCTCAACTTCATATGGACAGTGTATGATATTTGAGGCGGAACTCGGGGCTATACGTGATGGCTAGAGAGACCGTAGCCTATTGGCTAGAGATCTTGGTTTGTCAGATATTTGGGTTGAGGCTTACTCGAATGTAGCAATTCACTACATCACCGAGGTGGCGGACCGTAGCCTATCCAGGAGATATTCAGACAGATTGCAGATATCATTTTCTTTGACAGAGATATGGTCTTCCCTATCTTCAGAGAGGGGAACCAAGTTGCAGATACACTTACTACCGAGGGTTGGCATCATCGTAGCTACCAAGAATATGGACCAGCCAACCTACCACGACATATCAAGGCGCTTGTTCAGAGCGACAGATATGGTTTGCCCAGCACTAGAGTTTAAGTATTTGTATTTTTGCTTTTACTTTTATTTTTTCTTACACTTGTGCTTTTTGTAAGGGAGTAGTATTCCTTGTTTACTGCTTTCCTATTATTCTTTACTTTCTCTATAAGGGAAATGGTACTTCCTCATTTATTGATATAATTTGTAATCACAGTATTTCTTCGCCACAAGTGAGATATATTAATAAATACTCGAAGGTACCGCCCTCCTTCCACTAAAAAAAAATAAAAAAGATGCAAAATGTAATGTGTTGAATATTGTTTTAGTGATCTATAGTTGGACGGGGAAATTGTTAGTAGCATGATGAAATCATTGAAAACCAATTTGATGGATACTTATGAGTGGTATGTTGATTGTTTAGGTGTTTATGGAAGTAGTCAAGTATCAATTGAGGATTCTTTAAGTTCTTTCAATTCAGATAAAGGCAGTTCTTCTTTGAGTGATGTTTGTCTTTCTAAGTTTATGGAAAACAAATAGTAAAAGATTGTGCTAAGATAAAAAATAATGTGGAAAGATACTTACTGAATGCTTGTCAAAGCATAGAGAATAAGGACTTCGATTTTCTCGATTGGTGGTAGGTTAACAAAAATAAGTATGGTGTTTTGTCCCAGTTGGTTAGGGATATGTCGACAATTCAAGTTTCAATCGTTGCTTCAGAAAGTGCATTTAGTACTGGAGGAATGATCGTTGATCATTTTCGTAGTTCTCTAAATCCTAAAATAGTGGAGGTCATAGTATGCACTCAAAATTGGTTGAAAGCTTCCCCGAACTTGAATGATTTCTGCATGGAAGATGTTGAGCACTACAACCAATCGGATGAAAGAAGTATATATAATACTCAACAATCTTATTATTTTGAGTTATTTCTAATTATTTTTTTTCAATTTAATCACTTTTTTTTTTTTTTGTAGGACTTTTAGAATCAATGAATAAAACAAGTGAAGATGATCAAGGGCCTAATGTTAAATGATTAGTTTCTTTTACAAGTTTCTAGGTATATATATATATTTTTTCAATTTCTAATTTCAAAACTTCTTTAATGTTTCACATTGTAGGTTCCATTCCCTCAGTTTCAATTCTGCCAACTACTTCATTGTTTCACATTAACTATTATAGATATTGGATACAGTTTTAATTTCTTTGGATGACTATAATATTTGCTTTTGTTTTTGGTCTTTTGTGGATGCCAAGTGCCAACAATTATTTTTGTTATGTTTTCTCGTCATGTTTCTTGTTGATTGGGGTGGATTTTGAAACTTGGTGTTATGCAATTTTCTTTTTATATCTCTTATTGTGTGTAATATTAAGTGCAACTATTCCGATTCCAGCGACTATTCTGATGATCGTCACAAATTTATGTAATATGGTCACAGATTATTTTTGAGGTCATAAATTAAAAATTTTATACGTCACGGATTATTTTTGAGGTCGCAAAATAAAGTTTTTATAAGTTAAATTTGAGGTCACAGTTCAAAAATTTTATAGGTCACAATTTGTTTATCGGTCACAGATCAAAAACTTTGCAGGTCACAAATTATTTTGAGGTCACAAATCAAAAATTTTATAGGTCACAAATTTATTCGAAGTCTCCAATAAAAAATTTTATAAGTCACAGTTAATTTCATTG